AAATATTTCCCGCGAACATGGAGCCAGATGTCAGTAGTGTGCTTTGGTCAGGAATTTTATTTATTTTGCTATGGTAATTCATGTCGGTTTGTCGGTGGTTTTACTAACTACCTCGACTAATATATATATGCTTTACGTAACAAATAAAAAAGAAGTTTATTGCTGTATATATATATTTGACTCACCATATAACAAACTGGGATATGTAATAATAAAAATTCATTGGTGTACCTAGGTCAAATATTGTAATTGAATTATGTGAAATACCAACAATGCAAATACCTAAGCAAAAAAAAAAACAATCGTTTAGAAGAGGGGCGAAATTTTAATGGGGCGTATTTTTTCCCTTTATTTGTTTTACGTCGATCTTGTTTTCTGTACTGACTACCTATGCTACCGCCGTCAGGAAGGCAGCTCCAACACCTGAACCAAATATATCATATTAACAATATGATCCATTCATGCCTTTTCCAAATGTTGCAATGGCGACCCGCAAAATATTGCTTCACGCACCATCTAGCGTTGAAAAAGGTCAGCAACAATCATTCAATTACAATCGAGGGGTGCGAATATAGCACTTATTACAAAAGTAAGAGTCAAATTATTTGCAATAATTACATTACTTTAAACTTTATCTGACATGTCACTGTTGTCATCAAATAAAATAAAATGCTGAAATACATTCATTTGAAATATTAAACAAATTTTCATTTGGTTTACCCCTCGTGACGATAGACAAATACATTGGTAGCCTTTTTGGCCACAGAGGTGCTTTCATCGTTAAAAATTCGGTTCGCCAGCTAAGTGAAAGAGTGGATCATATTGTTAATATTATATATTTGCCTGAACCCTAACTATCGACCTATCAACTCATAGACCGGGGAGCAACGGCTTTATTTCCCTTCCGAAGGAAAGCGTGATCAAAGTTTTATGCCTCAGAAAATCCCGGCGGCGCCGACTAGGTTTTAACGAAAACAACAAATCAAGAAGACTGGCAACTCTTCAATTTTCTCATACGTACGCTATGAGACAGGTACAATCGCGTCATCTGCCGCTCAAAGGTAAATGCTTCGAACGAATTTTATAGCAAAGATTACATCCTCAGAAGAAGGGTTTGTGTATTTGCTCATTTTTCTATGCGTTGCTTCCACCTTCACTCAAGCGCAGCGCCACTGTATCTGTCGCTTGGATTCTGGCAAAGTTGCCAGTCTTCTTGATTTGTTGTCTTCGGATTTAACCAAATATATTATATTAACAATATGATCCATTCTTTCGCTTAGCTGGTGAACCGAATTTTTAGCGATGAAAGCACCTTTGTGGCCAAAAAGGCTACATGTATTTGTCTATCGTCACGAGGGGTAAACAAAATGAAAATTTATTTAATATTTCAAATGAATGTATTTCAGCATTTCATTTTATTTGATGACAACAGTGACATGTTAGACAAATTTTAAAGTAATGTACATAATGTAATTAATGAAAATAATTTGACTCTTACTTTTGTAATAAGTGCTATATTCGCACCCCTCGATTGTAATTAAATGATTGTTGCTGACCTTTTTCAACGCTAGATGGTGCGTGAAGCAACATTTTGTGGGTCACCATTAGAAATACTCAGAGCGAGAGATAGGCGAAGAGAATGTTTTGAGCCAAATGAACTGTCAAAATCTGAGGCAATCGAACATTCCCATTAGAGTTTTTCCGAGGATTTTCTATTCTTACTAGATTAAATTTGAGAGTATTGCAATCGAACAGAAATTCAATCTCCTTTATGTTTCATGTGCTTCTCAAATTCAACTAGTTTTTTGAATAAAAAACAATATTCTAACTCTATTGATTAATTGATCTTAGTTGGTTAGCAAATAGCACCAAGAAATGTGCAAAATATTGTGATGCACTCAATTATTATTTTGCACGTAAATCGAATCAAAAGTAAAAGTCATGTGAAATGCTAGCTTCTAAAAGGGTTGCAAGATAATTTAGGTACAAATCCCTGCTGCCGAATTGTATTTTGTTTTCTCCGCCCATCTCTCCCTCTGAGTAATTCTAGTCGCCATTGCAACATTTGGAAAAGACATGAATGGATCATATTGTTAATATGATATATTTGATTTAACCCAGGCCTTTTGGGGTGAGAAACAATCACGCTTACCACTACACCACCACCGCCGCTGTATCTACCTGAATGTAGTTTGTTTGTCCACTTTCGTTAATGTATACGTTGATTTCAGCTTCATAAAATTGTAAATGCCTTTCATGGTGGAATGATCAACCACAGACAAACAGACAGAACACATTGAATTTTTCTCATTGTAAAACATCGTCGCTAAAACATTACCGCCATCTGTTGAGTACACTGCGGTGGGTACTGAACAGATGGCGGTAGTGTGTAAACGTCAAACGCAAGGGAATTGACTATGCGTGCCACAGGTGACGATACTACCAACAACGATACTTTTAAATTGACCGTTAAATAATTGTTCGATGAATAACTTGCTAGTGTTATGTCTGTTTGTCGGTGGATCAACCATCAACAATAGCTATATTTTCTTCATCATTGGATAGCATTTTTTATTAACTAAAACCGAGACTAAAACAACACAAATGAACAATGTTTTGGTTGTGGGTTTTTGCTTTTTTTCCGTGGAAGTAAAACAGTTTTTTTTCCATTATGGGAAAAATCGTTATATCATGAATTTGTTAACAACTACGCATTCATCTGCAAAACAGGTAATACAAGTAGATGCGCAAAAAATATTCACAAAGGCCAGTTCATAAATAATAGGGATACTTTTTTTACCATAATCGAAAAATCTCCGTACACTCTCAGATCTAAAACTATCAAGCCCATACATTGCATTGTGGCTGTAGGCTCCTTAAAGTCTAAAAAAAATTCATTATGAGTGGCCCCCTACATTTGACCACCTGCAGATGCGGCTTCTATCGGTTAATTAACCGCAATTGATAAAGAGGATACTATTAAACCGCCAGGCAACAAAACATGTAAATCAAATAAAACCACTCAGTTTTAGAACCACTATGGATGTTTTATTGATTTCTTTCTTAAAAATGTTTACATTTAAGCATAATTAATCGTTCAAATTATTATTTCCGCTGCTTCTTATTCACTGCGCTCCAATTTGCGTGTAGCTGGTTCATTTGTGTGTTCGTATCATATTCTTCAAGATGTTTGCTCTTGACGAGACTCCAAACAGTGTAGCCTTTCGAAGCCATCATGCTTTCATCTTTTTCATCTGGATTTATGTCTGTCAAATGTCAGTGACTGTTACGTGTTCTGTCTTCTTCTGTTCATTTATCTTTGATGTTATCCTGTCATTGCTTCAATCGCTGCAGTTAGGTTTGTTGTGTGTGTGTTTTTTTTGTTTAGATATAGCAATTTTATTTACTCTTTTTTAGATTTAGTTTTCTTAATTTTCTTTCAATTAGTTTAAAGTACTTAACATTAGTTTTGCATGCATCATCAACTAAAACAGACGATTACTAATCGTTTTTCTTTTCTTTTTCATAAATGTTGTTAATAAAACGCTTACACACGTATTTTGGGTTTTAAACTTCAATTAACATATCTTTTTGTTTTTTATCTTGCCATCATCGAAAACGTTTCCCAAAATAAAATGGTTTTTCGTTTTGTAAAACAATTTTAATGTTTTTTTTTGTTTTAATAATTTCACCACAGTTGCGTTCGTCATGTCTTTATTATTCGGTGTGTTTATTTTTCATACTAGAATCAATTATTTCTTGTTAAGTAGGTAGCTGTGAGGATGTAAACGGAAGAAAAGAGAAGAGCGTTATTTGTCTCTCAGCAACGCAAGGTTTTCATTAGGTGACCCTAATGTTACTTTCGTTTCTGTGATGTTGCGATGTAACTCGCAGCCGTGATAGTAGGTTGAAGCTCCGCGGCAGAATGTATTTGTATTAATTTAAATCGCCAAGAGCCATGATGTTGATAACGACCAACGAGCCCAAGGATCTCGACATCGTGTTACCATAGAAACAAAAACATCATAACATTTGAATGATGTTGCTGCGTTGGGGAAAACGCTAGGCTACTTCGCATGAATTGTTTGAAGAAGAAGAAAAAAACAGATCGCCCATAGCGAAGAAAGCAGCTACGCAGAAGCTCTAAAGGGGACCTATTCATCCATTATTTTGCATTCGGAGACATGCAGCTACAATAAAACCGACAGACTTTTAAAATTTCCTCTAGCGGCGGGTTATCGCTTCACTTTCCGTCAACCGACCAAAGCATTGAAAATAGTTTTAGTTCGATTATTAAAAAGGAGCATCATTAAAATCGTCAGTTTTTATTTTTCAGAAGCAATCAACTGAATAACAGTGTTACCTACTTACTTGTTGAATGTTTGAAAAAGTTGTTTCAGTTTTCCGATGTTTTGGTAAATTGTTCCTAGATTGCTAGACTATTTGGAGCACGTGTAACACTTAAGTACGTACATTCTAACTATTTATAACAAGTTTTATATGCTCTTTTTTGTTAAATTTCTTCAGCTTTTGTATTCTTATAGTTAGGGTAATTGTATTTTTTCAATTTGTGTCAATATATCTGTTTTGAATCTAATTAGTCATAGCAAATAACCGAGTGTTCGACTGTAAGGAAATGAAAAATCTAGTTATTTTGTTTACTTTAATATATTTTACTTGATTTGTTTTCGTGTTATCTTTCGCGTTTTGGTTTATTTTTATATCTTTTCTTTATAAGAACTACAGCGTCACTGTTATTGATTCAACATTTAGGGTTTGATATTAATTCGCTAATATTTGTTTTGTCTGCCTTATACGTAGCTTTCATTTCTAGTTGTCCTTATTTCATTTCTTAGAGTCTAGTGAACTGCAAGTGCTGAAATTCATCATAATTTTCTGCCTAAATAGCTCTTCTGCTTTTTTTTTTAATTTTAAGTAACTTATCTTAACATTTATCGCAATGTTGGATTTGTTCTTAACGGTCAGTGGCGGCTTTCCCATTTTGACAGTTACTGGGCATGATGTGGCTATGTGACATTCGTAACGTGAAAATTCGTTAGTAGCTACTGTTGTCTTCGACGGTAATTTTGCGCTTAAAATAACACTGAATCGAAAACACTCGCTAAATTTCAAATTCAAATGAAAGTAAAATTTCTTCAAGAATCGGGATTGAAAATTAGGAAACCAATTCAAAAAATCCAATGGAAAGACTGCTAACGGTTGCTTGTCTTATCGGAGGAAAAGGAGTTTAATGCATATTTACAATTTTGCACCTATTTTACATGTAGTTTAAGTTTTATTTGAAATTTTACAATCTATTTTTATTGGGGGGAAACTGACGGAAAAGTGTCTGCCAGCAATGGTCGACATGTTGGCTCGTAGCGCGTAAACAAAGCGTGCCTGTGGACGTAACGTTTATAACGTGTATGACAGATCACAGAAGGCATCTCATTTGCTTTGACAGACAAGCGTTTGCTTTGTTTATGGTGCCAGCCCATGGTAGGCGACGCACACTACGATTGACAAGATGTCAGCCTTGCGGAAGGGCGTCAAATTGAGTTTCTTAGAAATATACGCTACGCGCAGGCAAAGGCGACAGTTTTTCACTGATCTCATCATCGGTTGGTTGACTGTCTGATCATGTGTTTGTTCTTGTTTAAATGTAAACATTTTTAGGAAATGAAATCAATTTTATTTCGACTAGGGTTTTCATCGGTTTTGTATTGTTCTGTTGTTGTAAAAATGTGCGACGTCTCGCAAACCGTCACAATTCTTCTTTCGCAATATGCGCGCCTTGGAAGAAATGTCAGTTTGATAGTGGTCCATTGTGAGCGGTAATGGGTTGCCATTCCACTTGTGACAGCTGTAATGATTGCGCGTGTATGCATGAATGTAAAGAAAGACGGCGAAAAAATGCGAAAGTGTGAACTCATACAGAAATCCAAATGTTCGATGATGCGGACTGAATTGCAAAACTTGCGCAAAGTGACCTGGACAGACGATGAGCGAAAGGTAAACAATGCACGAAATCAAAACAAGGATTTTCGAAAAAAAAAAATGTTTGTATGAATGTTTCCTCTAGCTACTAAACAAGATCCGATAAAAGCGTGTCAATCAAACTAACAGTTCGTCTCTACAGATTTCTCGGTTTTTATTTCAATAATCATTCATTAAAAAGATATAGTAGATTTACATTGTTGTTAATTTTTGTTCATTTTTATTACTTTTTATTCATAACTTCCATTATTTATTTTACGTTTAGCTGTAATCGTGTGTGTGGTGGGTGTTTGAATAGTTCTTTTGTTGTTGTTGTAAGTGAATGAAACTATTGTTTATTCGTGTTGAGAACCCCTTTAAATGCCTTTTTATTCTTCGCATGTTGTGATTTGCTTGAAAGCGACGCTACCCTGCGGTCTGACAGTAAAACTAGAAAGTGTGTTGATTCTATCTGATTCATTTGCGTTATTTTTTTTTTAATAAGTTTTAACAGCGGTTGCTTTGTTTTTTTTTCTATATTCTTCACGGGAGCTTAACTGTATGTATCTTTGCCTGCGATAGTTTTAAATCTAACAATTAGTGTTACTGCACTCGAGTTGATGTTGGTATTTTTTGTATACGCTTGTTGCATTTCGGCTTACAGCTACGTCAACTCGTTCGTTTCACTTCAGATGGTAATTATCGAAATACCTACCAGGAAAGAAAAATCTAAAATTCTATCCTCAATCAATTTTACATACCTCCTGTAGTAATTATAGCGGTTCTCCTTGGGTAGCTTTCTTAACATAGTTCAAACAACTAAATACGGTTTAAATAAAGATTCACTTGGAGCTTCGTTATTTCATAGAGATTTTTTTTTTTCTAAAAATGTTAACTAAATGTATATAAAACTACTAACGTCAAAGCTCGAAAAGGCATGAATGCTACTACAGCATGGCATTCATTTGCTTTTCCCACGTTCTGCTGTGAATGTACCTTATTTATACTACTTTAATCATCTGTTACAAATAATCTATCTTCACTAAAACAGTTTCATCAACTTCATTAACTTGGTTTCCATCATGATTTCATTATATGAACACAGTGCGCAATCGATAACTGAATTGGTTGAAATTAAAATTGAACGAAATACTTGAAATAGGAAATTCTAAATAAATAATATATATCACTAAAAGAATAAATAACAACACATCTGAATGGACGACAACAAGGGAAAGAAAATGTTGCTTATACACTGAGATAAATTCTCCAACCGAAATTAAGTTAGCACATTGAAAATTCTAAAGCGCACTATCAGTAACATTCAATAATAGCTTGCTTTGCATATTCGCTGCTGGTTTTCCGTCGCTTTTTGTTTACCTGTTCATTTTCGCTAGGTGACTGTTTTATTTATAAGAGACTCAATTTTTTGTGTTTGATTTTATCAGTTTTTCTATCAACTTTCCCCAATAATAATTATTAATAATACTTTCAACAACATTTTCCTTTTCCTTTTATTATTTGCAATTGCAGTACTTTTGTTTCCAAGAATCGATATTTTCTGTTCTGTCTGTTGCTTTCGTTCGGCTTCTCCGGGACACCATATAATGGTGTGTATAAATTTAGTGCCGTGATTTTTCCCGGTGTGGAACTGGAAACAAAAGTAGACTCACTTTCGAAGGCGGCTGTCGTGGTCGTTCCAGCGGAGCCGTTGCCAGGTTGGAACTATCCCGACCGCGCGTCTTCCCTAGTCAACTTGATCAAGTTTAATTATTTTCATTTGTTAAATGGCGAAATCCCTAATTACATTATCAAATTTACTTGTGTACGGCTTATGTATCGGGTTTTTTCTTCTTCTTCATTTTTTCAGCTATTAATTACATCAAATTATACTTTCTGCACGGATTTGCTCTTTCTTTTGTTTTGATGTCGTTTTACTGTGTGTGTGTGTATCTGCTTAGTATGATCGTAAACTTGTTTTCACTTGGGCAATTCATGATTTTTTTTTAATTTTAATTTTATTATTTCTTTTGTTGGGCAGTGAATGTAAGAATAGAAAGAGGCCCGTCAACGTGTTTCTCGTCCAGCTGATTTTGCTTTGACTATTTGTTTTACTGTTTATCTGACAGCAACTACTCTTCAGTAAGACCAATTACTCCTAACTGTGCTTTGCTGTTAGTTCAGATTTTTGTTTTTTGTTGATTTTCCGCGCAGATTTACTTGTGATTTCTGTATCTTCCACCACTCTCATTTGCATTCATTTTCAATAAACCACTTATTTCAACGCATTAAACTTTTAAATCGAGTAAACGGAACAAGATTGGCTTTTGATTTCAATCAAACCACAAATATATCGATACCTCTTATAAGTTTTGTTTTCCACAGTGCAATTTTGTTAAACCTCTATAAAAAGCTTCACAATGTTTTAGGTAGTATCGATTCTTACAAAAAAAAACATAACCTTTCCTCGCGTTAAACTTGCGTCCTGTCTCCAGAAAAAAAGTTGCATTTTCATATTAAATGTCCTCTTTGTACACAGTTCGAAATTCGAAAACAAACTGATTCAGTGTTTTCAAATTACTTCTAGAATAATCACCCCGAAATGTGTGCCACTTCCTTTAGCCTTATTTAGAAGAATCCGTCCACTTCTGTTTCGCCGCTTCTAGTTTTTATTCCTTCTTATATTTTTCGACGTTTGCTTGCATATCAGTCAAGTTTCCAAATAACCGACATCACCCCTCCAACCGCTCTTGGCTATCACGTCGAACTCGGCTAACCTCTTCACTTTCAATTTGTTTACTTATTTGTTGGATCTTCGGTTATGTTCGCGATTTCTCTATGATGATACCGTTTGAGAGCTGTACATGGTTTGGTTGGTTTATCTTCGATTTCTTCCTAAACGAGATGATGTTTCGCGCATGTATTTTGTTTTACAATTAACCTCTAGCTTGTTGTATTTGTTAATTATATTTTAAATTAATTAAAGATCGCACCTAAATTTGTTGTTAATAGTTTGCATTTATATCGGTTCCGATGTTCAACCACCTTCAAATGCCGTACCACGCTCTGTCCTTTCAGTTGCTCAAGCTTCTCTTATCAATAATTAATTGTTTTTAACATACTGATGTTCATCTTTTCACACAAATTATTTGTTGATTTTGGTTTTCTCTCTTTTTTGTTTTGTTTTTCGCACACTGCCGTTGTTATTTGCAGTATAGGTTGTTGTTGTTGATGTTGTTCGGTATTCATCATGTTTCTTCATTTTCTTCTTCATCTGGTTGTTGTTGTAGTAGTTCTTCTCTCGCCTGCACCTAGACTCATCTTCTTCGGCCTGCTTTACTCTTGCCAGCTGCTACTAGGGACGATGGCCGCGTTTCTTAGTCAACCATCAGCTCGAAATGGACGGACCCTCTTCGGTCAGCTCGGTCGTGATGGATGTTGCGTGCCCAGGCTTTGCACTCAATGTTGACCAGGACGCCATCTGTGAAAGGGGGAAACGAAACGGATGTGCGATCATGAGTCATGGGGAACAAAATGGTCCTTAAAAACAGATGGAGAGGCAAATCGTGCTGTTGGATGAGGTAAAATGTAATTTAAAATTACACTAGACGTTCACTAACTGAATGACTTTTAACTGAAAGTCCGCTAACTGCAAAATGTTTCAGTCAAAGGACACGTACCTATTAAATTTATGCCTTTTAAGATGTAATGATGAACCAGATGAACACGAGGATAAATATTGATGCATTTTAAACGCATTTGACAACTGGTTCGACACATAAAATTCATTTCAGTTCATTGTGAAAGCCGTTCACTAGGAGATAAGTAAATATTTTTCTGTTAAAATCTTCAAACAAATTTCGACGAAAACTTGGGTGATCTTTCCGTTCACAGGTCCTAGTTTTCGGTCATATTTCGGTGTGTTCTGGAAGGTAACCTTCTCACCAGGACATTTTCGAAGCTCTGAAATGATCTGAAGATTTTTCTTTTTTCAGGCAACGTGTTCAACGCATTGTTTCAAAAATGCATGTCTAGCCTAGCAACGCCAAACAAAAATGAAAAAGAAGCACGATCAGAATGATAGGCTAGAAGTGGATTCCCTCGCTTTGCTATGCTCATTTCCTTTCAATGGATGTAACGTCGATTTTCGAGTTGAAACCGAGCTTCAATTCGATTTCCATTTCCTTTCACCGACATTCTATCACTTGCTCTGTCAACTGATATAATACGCGTTATGCCTTGTTTTGATTACTTTGTTTTTAGATAAATATTTTACCATAGGAGTAACGTATAGTCGCTATATTTATAGCACAGACAAACAGACATAACTCTCGAAAGGTGTTCATCGAACAAGCATTTAACGGACAATTTAAAAGTATCGTAGTTGGTAGTACCGCCACCTGTGGCGCGCATAGTCAATTCCCTGCGTTTGACGTTTGCACACTACCGCCATCTGTTCAGCGTACTACCCACCACAGTGTACTCAACAGATGGCGGTAATGTTTTAGCGACGATGTTTTACAGTGAGAAATATTCAATGTGTTATGTCTGTTTGTCTGTGTTTATAGTCTGGCCGATAAAATCACCCTTGTAAAAATTGAGTTGTCAAATAGTGAAACCAATCCAGCATATCACGACCAACAACAGAAAAGAGCACATCAGCTTTTGCGAACAGATTTTCGGAAACCCTTTTCTCGTAACGGCGAGCCTTTTACAACTGGTTCCAAACGTAAACAAGCCATAAGAAACCTACATGGTTTGTTTACGTTTGGAACCAATACATCATCATACAAGAATGATAAGTATTGATCATCATCAGGTTGTCAAATCTCCCTACACTTACAGAGTCGCTGTCAATGTCATTTCAAATTCATGCGGGTAGTTGCTTTATCCTTCAAGATTGCCTCAATTTTCAGCTAATTAGATTGTATTTTCGTTTCGTTTATTGACAAATCCATGTTTCAATCGACCACCGTGACGCTGCAATCGCAGCGGTGATAAGTCCGAAATAATGTGTCAAACTGAATACATTTTTGAAATTTCATCCAAAAAACTATTATTTTCTATTTATTCTAGCGAGTTTCTGTGGAAGTCAAAACATGATCCGAGCAAAAAAGTAGTACTCGTAATAATGGCTATAATGCTGAATTTTATCGTGCTTTGTTTCGAAAATATCTTCCAAATAAAGAAACATCATCCAAATCACCCGAATCGTGCACCGACTAAATCTATTGTCACTTAAAAATTAATTTCAGTCGGTGTATTAATCAGCAGATTAAATCGTTTTTCGTCTGGTGCTACACCGAGCAATCGGCCTATTTAATAGTTTTTCGTCGATTGATTTAGTCGGCCAACTTTGTCTGTTGTTTAATCGGCACATGATTTCAAACCTTAACATGTTTTCAGTAATTTATAAGTCTTGAAGTAGCTTTTTATTTAAGAACAATGCATTACAAAATAGTTTTATGCATTTTGTACAAGATTCATCCATGCTGACAAGAAATTTTCATGAAATTACATTGAAATTAAATAATTTTGCAAACAATCAATGAAATTTTCAAGGTCTGTCACAGACTTATCACCGTCGGTTAGTGCTTATTCCTGCCACCAGGCGCGCATGAGTTTAAATTGGATTTCTCAATTTAACGTCGGTATCTGTTCCGCATTCTAGTGTCAATCACCGACGGACATCGATTGCCATCCATTGACGGCATTCGAATGTGCAGGAAGGCAGCTTCCACACATGCGTATGATATCGTACCCATTAACACACATGGGCCGGGACCGACGGCTTTACTTCCCTTCCGAAGGAAGACGTGACCAGAGATTTTGATGTCTTAGATAAATCCCACCGACCTTGGCTGGGATTGAACCCAGACCCATTGGGGTGACAAAGCAGTCACGCTTACCACAACACCACCGGCGCCAGCATTGCATGTTGATTCCAGTTTCTGGTGCGGGGCCACGGTAATACCAATCGGTGGAAACTAACGTTTTAAAATTGGCTCACTACTTGACTAGCCTATTGGTCCCAAGCAAATTGATTAACATACCCCATTCTAGTCGAAAATCTAGTACTACACTATGTTTGTTTTGATTCGCTATGCAAGTTTGAAAGATAAAATGAGGGGTTCGTCGATTTTCCTATGTTTCGAAGGGTGCATCGATTAGCTTGGGACCGAAGATAGTACCAGAGCTGAACCAAAAAGTTGAGCACGTTTCTTCGGAACCTTCTGGTCTTAGAGTTACCTCTATGGATATACCCTATCACTTCACGTTTTCTAGAGCACAAATCTCGTACACTGGTACTTTTACGCTCATGAAATTGGAACTCCCGCTCTGCATCAATTGTGGAGTTCAAGTTACATTGTTGTATGTTTTGTGGGAGCTGATATTTATGCTCTTATAATTTCGAGGTAATAGAACTGTTGATAGAACGACCAATCAGAAATTAGGTTTCTACAGCAATTTACCTTAACGGGTACTTAATCCCGTTCATTTCTGTAAATAAGTTAAAGGGTGTAATTGCGAGTTAAAGAGTGCTCGGGTTTTCCGAATCTTTGAACTCATTTATCTTCATAAATAAGGCCAAAATAGTTGTTGAAAGGGGCCATGATTGTCCTAATTCTCCAAACTCATTTATCTCCGCTAATAAGGCCTAAATCCTAATTTAATGGATGATGGGTCAGAGTTCTGTTCTAAGTTGGCAAAACGATTGGACAATTAATTCTCTTGGGTGGTGGTTACATTCCATTACTACAACTGTTTGTTCGAGAGCGTGGTTCAAAGGTCTGGTTGTAAGTCGGAGATTCATTCGCCAACCACAACTCGCTAGACGCACATCTCTACAGAATTAACCTCGTTGACAGCAATATATGTAGGTGCAGGACCAGTTATGATGACATCGATCACGCAGTTTGGTATTGCCCGGGTAATGACGCCTCCAGATCACGACTCTTGGATACCCTAGTGACCCGAGGTGGACAACCCTTCCGTGAAGTAAGAGATGTATTGGGAACCCGTGATCTTCCCTACATGCAGGCGATGTACGAATTCCTTTGTTTATCTGATGTTAGAGTTTGATGTGAACATCCCCTCCTTTCCTCACATTTTCCAGCCATTGTGTCCCAGTATTATTATCCACCTATTTCTGTGCGATTTGCCCCTACATAGCCAGCATTTGGTCAGCCGTTCGAGAGTAGTATCTGAAAGAGGCTGCAGAAACCTGTTTCCTACCTAGCTCCTTCCAATCGAAATTGTTAACCATTAACCTCGAGCCCGCCACGAGTAATTGGTACCCAATACTAACCTAGTTAAAATGTTAATTAAAACATTACGGATTTTTGGCTCCGCAAAGTGTTACACACGAGTGAGCCTCGTAAATAAAAGAACTAGTTAAAAAAGATATTTGGGAAACCCAAACACCCCTTAACTCACGATTTAGCCCAAGTAACATTGCAAGTTTTATCGAAGTGTTAAAGCATTCTACAAGTATAATCATGGTCTGCAGAACCCTCATAAAACCAAAGTTGTTACTTGGGAGGTCTTATTTACGGATATATATGGTTTTAATGAAGATTTTATCTCTCATCGATAATACTCACTTTTGGGGCTCTCGAAGTGCACCGCAACGATCGGTGGCAGGTATCCCTCGACGTTCTTGAACGGGAAAAAGTATCCGGGGAATCCTCGACGTGGGATGTAGTTGATTGGGCCGATGTGTTCGTTATCGGCTGGATTTTCACCGGCGCACGAAACCCAAACAATGTTGGCCTGTGTGATTTAAGATGTATTAGTCAAAAGAAGTCCGAAGTTTGTTCCACCGTTAACTTACGTTTTTGTCTCCCCGCTGAAGCTCGGCACCGATGTGCTCTCGGAGATCTTCTGGCATGCGCTCCGGCAGGCTTTCGGTAGTATTGTACAGATCTGGGACCCAGTTGAAGATCTGAAGTTGGGAAATTGAGGTATAAATATCCGTGCCGTGGATTCAGAAATCAGCGAACTCACCTTGTTGAGCTTCAAGAATATGCACGGGCTCTTCTTCTTGAAGTTGTATCGGTTCAACTTGGTGCAGGGGCCCCATTCGTTCATAGGAACTTTGCAAACCTTACCCTCTGCCGGTGGGCTATCGAATGAACAATCGACGCGGTTGTCTTCGTCCTGGTGGTATGCTGTTGGATAGTGAAAAGCAGGTGAATCATTATGGAATTATCATGAGACAGGTTGGGTCATGTGTGATACTCACGCTCTAAGAACTTATCGATCTCTGAGGTCCAGGCTTCAATGTTACCGTTATCGGAAGCCTTGTACCAAATTAATGTACTCTCCACGGTGTCGTCTTTTGGCATCGGCCGGAAACCAAGACCTGTTTGGGTTCGGATGGGAGGAAATTTGGATAAGTGGTCGGCTCGATTGGCCTACTATGATCGATGAGAAGACGTACCTGGATTGGACCCTATTAGTGATTCTCCGAGCTGCCATTTTGGCATTTTCATATCTAACGTCTGCCAAAACACTGCAAGCAACGCTGAGAAGTAACCAATTAGCACTGCGTAAAATACCAGGTAGAAGAAGAGAATTTTCGCTGTAAATGGAAAAAAGAAAAAACGGAATTTGTGGTTAGTTTTCATTTTTGTTTTATAATCAACTAAAGTACGAACACAGCCATCTTGCTTTTCTTTGGAGGTCATGCTTCGGTAAACCGCAGGTGAAACGACTTTCTGTTGCATATTTACAGTCTTCTTAAAACGTGTCGTTCTCGGGGTGCGTGGATAAAAATATCGCAAAAATTCTCCACCCACGCAGCGTAAAAGTGTCACGAGTCCTCCTACACGATAGGAAATGAAGCAATCCGCGTGGAGAGGAAAAAAAATGGGATTGAAGACGAACAACGGTCGTAGGCGTTAACGAGTCAAATTATGCATGGGAATTTAGGAATTTGGTTACAATTAATTTGCTATTGATTGTTTTTTTTTTGCTAGCTCTGATAATGCCCGATGGTTACGCCTTTGGGGGAAGAGGGAAACAAACTACGGGGAACAACTAAAATCGATTTTTACTAAATGGGTACGGCGCTATCGTGAGCAATTATGTCATTCGAGGTGGATAGATGTCTGCATCAGCCTGCCTGGTGCCATCAAAGTTTATTCCCTCGTTGGGGCTGTTCGATAGCAGTTTCAGTCGCTGAATACAAAAACTTCATATCTAGATGTTCTATATTTCTAAAGGGTTATTAAAATTCACTTTTTTGGTCATATCTTCGCAGCCAAATATTCAATAGGGCTATATGGTATTCCGTTGCAAACGGGTTTTTTACACAAAGCTTGCATGATTGAATAGCCTGATATAGTTTTCATCGGAATTATATAAATGTTGAAAGAACTGACTGCAAACCATGAACATTCTCCTAAAGTAATGCTATTTTCCTGCTTCCTTATTAAATTCATGCCGCACAAAAATCACATCTCCATATCATGGAATCTAATGCCCAGAAGTTATCCAACAGCGAAAGAAAATAATCCTTCTTTTTCGCTTTGAGGGACACCCCCGCCCGGAGGATAATACCGTCCGAGTGTGGGTATGTTCACGACTGCCTCTCTGATGGGAAAACAGCATGAATATGGAGTCCTAGTACACAGACACGTCTCATTCGTTCATCCTTATGGACTGGCACCTCCTTTTCCAGAGAAACTGGCAAAAGGTTATGTTTACCAAAGTGAATCTAATGATTCGCCATCGTCGACGTCGTCGTTGGTAAACCAGCCCGAGGGGACGCATCACAAATGGACGAATGGCAAACGAGCCACTTTAGACACATGGGCAATCTAATCTCGTTTTATAATAGAGAACACTTTTGCGTCCTCCGTTCACCATAGGCTTCGCACCAACTTTGACGCTCAAGTGATTAGTCTGGTGGAGGGGAGGTGGGAGGTTGATAGTGGGTGAGGTGACACACTGTCGGTGCGGAAAAAGAAAGTCTTAGCCTTTTCTCTTGCTCATTCTCTGCTGGAGGGTGAAAATTGGATTGGTTCTGTGCAGCGGTTCCAACTAGGTATGGGGATACTTGATACTTTTTGGCATAGAGTGGTGTGTAGCATGAAGCATGAATGGCTTAAAATGTAAAAAATTACCAAATGTAACCGACATGCCGTGTGCGGTTTTTTGTGTCACTCTTTAATCTGCTTGTTGTCAAGGTTTTTTCGGTCCTGCAAAGCGGATCACGATTTCTGTTCGAATTTTTTTGTTTTAAGGAAAATTCTATTTTTTGTACAGTCAGTAACACTTTTAAGGTCAGTCGTGACTTGTTCGGGGATGAGATTTGAGCTTGTGACCTTCAGCGTGAGAGGCATGCATGCTAACCACTACGCAGGAATAGGCCCTTTGCATTATTTGAAAGGCAATGAATAGATCTTACTTCATTGCTATGTGGCTCATCATAGTTGTCCATATATTTATATTATGATTCCCAGTAAACTTACAACACTGTAGGGTGACCCCAACTTTTTTATCGATGCCTTGAATAACTATTTAAAGCATATTATAAATTTTTCAACCAAAATTTCACAAACGTATCTCGAAGGGTATGGGTATTCCGAGAAAATCAGTCATGACTATTCAGTGTCAATTCTGGAAAATGTTGTAACTTTAAGAGAAGTTTTAGGATTCACAAATTGTAAAATTTATTAAACCATTTAACTTAAGAAAGCATGAAACATTTCAAGGGGGGATTGTATAGCAAGGGATCTCATTATATAACGATATTTTTCTAGACGTTATGCTTCTGATTATCTGATTATTATATCACATATAACTATACATAAAAAAATCGGGATGACGAGCGACCATCAAGGCACCCAATTGAAGCGATTTGGGTGGGGAGAGTGAAGATGTCAACTTTCTGTTGCTAACATTTCGTGGATAAAGGGCAGGCTCTTCTCCCCATTCATTGGGGCATCTTCCTGTTGGATGGCTCGTTTTCTGACCAATTGGCTGACCAAATTTTTGGAATGAGATTCTTAACTGTCCCAAGGAAATGAATAGACAACATGTCTATCAATCCATCCATTCGTGTTTTGCAGTTCATATAGCGATTTGCTGATGGAGTAGGCTCTGCCTTTGAACAAGTTTGACGTGCATTTTCTTTGCATATTTGCGATTTCGGCCCAATCTGATAGTGATTTCTAAAGTTATTCTAGTTTGGGGCTGTTTTTCCGTGACTCTCAACAGAACCCGTGTCATGAAGTTTTTTCAGAGCTTCAGAGGGCAGCAGCTCCGAAAACAAACTCCTCCAGTGAACCCTCGACGTTATTTCGTTTGCGACGACGTCACGGAGAAGCGAACCACAAAGGCTGATCTTGGGGACTTTTTTAGCGATATTTCATATTAGCTGAACCTGATTTGGATGATCAAAATGTGATACTTACAAAAAGATAACTAGGAATCGGGATGTACTCAAGGAGAGGCAACATGTTAATTCTGTTGAATAGTACCAGGTGGATATCATCCTGATTCAAGCAATAAAGGTGGACCATGAAAGTACCAGTTACACCATGCAATTTCATTCTGTTTACATTGCTCATGGATTCATTTGGTGAGTTCGTTCCTACTTTTAAACACTTGTGATTATGATGGTCAACAGTGTTGAATGGTCACAAACAACTGCAGAATCTGGTGAGAGCTTACCATTTATTAAATTTAAATATTTGTACAGTAGTCGTTTGATTTAGGCACGGTTAGATTTTAGAATCACAAAACCGTTCGCTTTTGACACGGGGCTTAATTTTGGCAACGAGCCAAGATTGAACGGAATTTAAAAATAGTGTGTTATTGCTCCTTGTGATTACAACTTTTAATAAAAGATGTATTATTTGTAACGTCTATGTCATGGCGATGCCTCGCAGTGGTCCGAAATCAACAAAATCATAAATTGAATTTCAAAACAAGACCGTTCGATTTTGGCAACACTTAATTTTCAGGCTTGCTGCCAAAATTGAACGGGTACAATTTAACTGCAAAGGAATAGGTGGATTAAAGGTTTGTTAATAAACGTTTTAAATCTTGAACGCGAAAACCCAACCCTCTTACCCAACATCCCAGTGATTCCTCGTGGAAGTGCAGAGGATTTCTCGGCTTCCATCAAAGCGAGTGTCACGTCAACACATTTCTACCCATTCCTTTCTTGATTTGCGGTAGTGCGCGGCCGGCGGTGGTATTACCTAGTTTGAGATCACCAGTTTTTACACATTGAGGATGATTGCTAGTCCCAAGCATCAGGATTTTCCAGTAATCAAAGGATCACATTTTAGTCCTTGTTACTTTTTATGACTTGATAATAATGACAAGATTTGGGTAGTGACCACCGCGCCGTTCTGCATTTCTACATTGTACCTATATTTCAAATAAAAAATATTGCTTATGTTCATAGATTTCACATAATCCTTTTCCCTTTGTCCTTCTCCTTTTCCTTTCACTCTTTTCTTTTCAGAAAGCGAGTAATGGCGCTATAGCCATAAGTCATAAAAGGCTAGGCCAAGAGTTAGTACTCATGCCCCAACCGTCAGATGAAAATGGAGCATCACTTAACCTTTCTAGCTTTCATGCTTCCAACGACCAACCAATCATATAATTACCAAAATCGGAACGTACGGTACGAGATGTCCACGTTTCATCAATTTATTGGATTCTGAAGCATCGTGTCCGATGTTTTCTGAATCATCTTGCCCCTTAAATGCTGCACAGTAGGCCTGGCCGTTTTGATATGTGTGACGCATCTTCGATGTGAAACATATATCATATAGACAAGAAAAATGATGTAGGTATATATATATCATTTTCCAAGATGCTTTCAAGAACTGACTGTGTCGGTGTTAGATTAGATTAGATTAGATTAGATTAGATCATACAGCGATTTGCTTATGACAATCAGAGGTAATTAAGCTTGATCAAGTTCAACAGTGAAGAGAGCTCACAGCTATTGGACTAGTGTTTCCCTGCAACAATGAGTGGTAGACCACTATCATCACACATCACAGAGATATGAGCAACACACATTTACAAGTTTTCTTAAAGAGTGACCCCAAACTTTTGATCGGGAGTGTATCCGTTTCACCCGCACCGAAATAAGATTGAGAATTTTTCGAATGTTTCTGATTCATAAAAATAGCATCAAATATCACAATTAGAAATGAATTGCAGTATGCAGTTTGTCAAGCATGTTTTTAACCTACAATATGCTGATCTTGCAAGCAAAATGGTGTATTTACTGATCATAAAACAATAACAATTCGTAGTAAATTTTGAACTAATTGATGTAAATATATATAAAAAAAAATAACATATTGCAATACAGAGAACAGTGAAAACTAATCCATCTAAATAAACGGATCTGAAGGAAAGTAGAACATCACTATGATTCATACTGAATAAGCATTTTGAGACTAGTTCCGCTCTTAACAAAATATTATCTCGAGCAAGGAATATGTAAGCAAATAATGCGCATGTCACGAATAAGTTTTTGTTTTTTTTTCTCAGGAAAAGGTGCCACTTTGCGAGAGGATGTAAGAAGCTGTAATCAAAGGCATCAAT